TGGGGAGGGTTGCAGAACGCAGCACAGGAGCAGTTGGCTTAGGGCTCATTTTCAATCTTGTCACTGGTTCTGGGATAAGTTGAAACATTGATGTCTATGTACAAAATTCATACACACAAGTCCATCTTCTCATTCACTGTTTGTCAGGCACCCAGGAGATAACAAAGAAATGTAACTTCCAGTCCACCCTTCCCAGAAACCTACTTCTAAGGTGGGAACGGGCAAGTCACCAGCCGCGTAGTACAGCTCATCGGTCTAGCCAAATGCAGTCGTACATGCAAGGTGCTAGGTTAGGGAGGCTTCCTAGAGTAGGTCTGAACTAACTCTCTGAGAAGCAGGTGCTGGCCTGGCAAAGGTGTGAGAATGGAGTGTGGGGGCTGACGATCCAGGGGAGACAGTGAAGCTAGAAAAAAGGCTGTCTGGAGGGGCTGACTCGAGGTCAGGAAAGGCTTGTTTTTTTGAGGAAGAGGACTTGAACTTGACCCCAAAATCTGTGGTAGCCCCCATAAAGTAAACCTGACTGCAGTGCTCAGGGTGTTATGAAGAGTAGGATGTGACATGAAAAGGGCTAAGACAGTGCCTGGGTCAGGGTAAAAGTTCAATGTCTGTTCACTATTTTTATCATTACTAAAATCTATAGACATAAGGGAGAGGATGAACTGTGCTAGAAACGAGAGTCTGGCCCAAGTGCGAGGTTTGGGAAGAAGAGTAACACGAATTCTTATCAAGGCTGCTTTCGCTGCATGACAATAGCTAGACGAGGCAGCTCCCCACAGCTCCTGAAGCTTGGTGTCTTCACCACCCCCACCCACATTAGAGGAGCACACAGAACTGGGGGCCTGCTGCCTCCGCCACCCTCCGCCACACTGGCTCCCCCAGACAACTAATACTCATAGAAGGCAGCACTTCCACTTGCCAGCAGGTTCTAAGCCTTTACCTGCTGACTGCAGCCACCCCAGGGCCCTCCCGCCTGGCAGTCTGCCGTCCACGCCCATTGGGGCCCCTGAGTGCAGGGCACTGGGTCGGCGGCGAGGCCGTTCATGAGAAGAGGAGGGGAAGCAGAGCGGGCAGGCGCAATCTTTGGCGCTGGGGGACATCGGAGACATCCAGGAGGCAGCTGAATGTCTAGAAGTAGATTCAGTACGAGTAGTAGTTGAGGCCACGGACTAGGATGCTATCTAGGGAAGCATGTGTACTCCAAGAAGAGCCCTGAGGGCCACCAACTGTCACATCAACGTTAAATCACTTATTTGCTATACATGAGAATTCACAGCGTATATGAAAAAAGGCTTCTACGGAAAGTAACCTCACAGGGTGATCTGATCACAAAGTCCTAACTGGACAGGTCATGGTGAGGAAGAGCCCCGTTGGGACCCCCGTAGTAGAGGCCTCACGTTTCTTGACCCTATAGCTTAACAATAGATTGTGCCGTGCGGCTTGATCCAGAGCTTGGAACGTCCCCTGCCATACAGAGTTGCCTTGAAACTTATGATTAACGCCTTTATGCTCACTGATCACAATCCTGGTCTAGCATTCTTTCCAAACTATGCCCACCTTTGTTCCTGGGTTGCTCACGCCTCTGGAGGACCACATTGCCAGAGGAACGGCTCCGTGAGCACAATAGACCCCCCAGAACTGTCATGTAGCCCTTAGAATAATGCCCAGATTTTCCCTTAAATACCCTAAGCCAGACTGAGAAAGGAAGGCAGTTGTTTCTTTTAAACGCCTACAGCACCTGGTCTTCCTAAATGGTCTCCCATCCAAGTACTAACCAGGCCCGACCCCGCTTAGCTTCCGAGATCAGACGAGATCAGGCACGTTCAGGGTGGCATGGCTGTAGACGAGGAAGGCCGTTTTGAAGGTGTTCACCTGCTGCCTTCTCAGCTCAGATCACCGGTACTCTGACAATAAACACTTATTCTAAATATCCCAACTCCTGTGTCGGTCTATTGGCTGAGCAGCACAGGCAGCTGGCACCCGGACTCAGCTGCCCTCTGGTTTCAGCCATGGATAGTCGTGCCCTGGGCATATAACTTTTAGTAAAAGGTTTATCAGTCTCTTAAGTAAACCCTGTCCATTGTTTCTGTGCATCTAAGTTAATGCACCTTTGAAATATGCCTTAACCACCCTCAAGAGAGCACATACCCTCGTTAACTATCCTGTATTCCAGGGGTCCCCAACCCCTGGGCCATGAACCAGTACTGGTCCGTGGCCTGTTAGGAACTGGGCCACACAGCAGGAGGTGAGCGGAGGGCAAGCAAGAGAAGTTTTATCCGTATTTGCAGCTACTCCCCAGCACTAGCATCTCAGCCTCAGCTCCACCTCAGGTCATCAGGGGTTAGATTAGGAGCACCAGTCCCTGGTGCCAGAAAGGTTGGGGACCGCTGCCATAATCCAATTCCCGCCTTGCTTTCTCTGACCTCCATGTAATCTTGCTTACTCTCCCTCCTTGATTTCAAATGCATAAAAGAAACTGCAAAAGTTTCAGTGAGGAGTATTTGAGATCTTGCTTCCAACAGTCATTTTGGCTCAAAATAAATTGATAAATAAACTTACAAGAATTCTCTACAGGTTTGGATGTTTCTTATGTTGACAACTAAAATAGTCTACTTTCTCTGACCTCCATGTAATCTTGCTTACTCTCCCTCCTTGATTTCAAATGCATAAAAGAAACTGCAAAAGTTTCAGTGAGGAGTATTTGAGATCTTGCTTCCAACAGTCATTTTGGCTCAAAATAAATTGATAAATAAACTTACAAGAATTCTCTACAGGTTTGGATGTTTCTTACGTTGACAACCAAAATAGTCTTTTAAATTAATGATACAATTGTGCTCATTTTAAATAGAGTCCTTGAGATATTCTTTGACTCAACGGGTTTTTTTGGAAACACAAGGAGGCAAAGCGAGGTGCCAATACTATTCTTTGTAGAGAAAGAGAATCCCACAGCACATCCTGTGAGCTGAGTCAAAATGGAGCCTGTCCTTTTGAAATGTTATTTTCGTCGCTGATTTGATTTCCTTATTTTGTTTTAATTGGGCAATCTTAAAAGCGTCTACATTTTATTCAAAATAAGATTTTTACTGTTTTTTGGTTGTGCTATATCTTTTATCAAGATGCAGCCTTTTTATCTCCCACAAAGGCCTCCCCTTTCTCCCTTCCTCTGAGTCACAGATTCCCCGAGGCAGCTTTGCTGGGTCTCCTGAGATAAGCAGAGCGGACACAGCCCCCGGGTGGAGGCAGAGGCAGCTGGGCCACGGCCTTCATCTGGGACGAAGTGTCTCGTGACCCCGCAGCTTTAGGATCATGTTTCGCTTCAGTTAAAATTATTCTACGATAAAGAAGTCTTTGTTCTTCTGCATTCACTTTAGGATTTGTTCAACATGTAACCCTTCTGAGCACTGTGCCAGGAGCAGGAGTACAGGGAACAAAACAGTCACAGCCCGGCCCTCAGGGCAGTCAGGTGGCGGAGGAGGACTACAAATATATGGTTGCGAATATGGTTCTTTGATTATAAATGACTTAAGATCTATGAAAGGATAACTGGAGGATTGATCTAGTCTAGGAATTGGAGAAGCGACATTTGAGCTGAACTCTGAAGATTAAGAAGGAACTGGCTTTGGGGATTATGGAGGGGCACAGGGGTGGGGGGGCCCAGGGAGCAGCCATCAGGGCCAGAGAATCAGGAGGAGGCAGACGGAGGCAGCCGGGTGGGCAGCGGGCCCTGAAGGCTATGGTGAGGGTTCCGTCCTAAGAGAAATGGGAAGTTGTGGCCAAGAAGGAAGGATTTTGAAATGATCCCTCTAGCTGGAGCGAAGAGAACTCGTGCTGGAGTGAGGAGGTGTCCTGACCAAATGCAGTTTGTAGTAGGCTAGTTGACTGGGCAGGTGAACCTGGGTGGAGACCGTGGAAATGGAGAGAAGTATGTGGTGGACAGATAGGAGTCCTGCCAGAAGGGAAACAGCGAGGAGTTATGTAATTCGAAACCAGAAATTATCACTAGAATACAAGTTTCCTATTAAGACAATATTATTGCATTAGCCACATTTAAGTGATGCTCGTATTTACAGAACAACAACAGCTACCCATTTGGGCCTGTGCTAAGCACGTCGCATGTCTTCATGCTAACAGAGCTCCGAAGGCTTGCTCATACCCAGGAGTAATTGGAGAAATGCAAATTAAGAAGCAATGAAGGTATTCCCTTACAACTATTAGACTGGAGATACATTAGAAAGTAGACAGGGCCCATCGTTGGCCAGGTTTAGGAGTTTAAGACTGCTCCTGCGTGCCTGGAGGGAGGGTGCGGGGGGCAGCTTGGATGCGGGTTGGTCTGGCCCACTGGGTCAAATCAAGCTAACCTACATCCTACGATCCAGCAGCCCCACTGCTGGGCCTGGATGCAGAGAAACAGTTGCAGGTTATA